CACACACACACACACACACTCTTCGTGAAACCATGGATTCTGTGATCAGACACATCATCCATCATCCTTTGCTAACAAGGGTTTAACCAGGCAAAACAAATGACACCTCTCCAGAACATTACAAGATCTTCGTCGAGAACGCACAGTCTGATTTATCAGAGCATTAATTATGGATGGACCTTTATTACATCAGCTGTGTGGGAGGAGAGGAGACGATGTTGTCTCTTTGTTGGTCAGTGTTTGTCAGGGATTGAATCTTTTCTGCCTTCTTTGATTAAATGTCTTGATTGATCACTTTTTACAGAACGTAATATATTGTATGTAACAATTCATAAATTTGTGTATTGATATGCATTAACTTGATGGTTTTGAGACAAGGGTGAGTCAGATTAAATGTCACTACAGTAATGATGCATCGGTATAATTTTACAGTTTTATAGCTGTTGTCTGTGTGACAGATGGCATTGTTGTGAAACCAGTGGTATACATTTTTTCACAGCTAGAGTCTGGGATGTTTGTCCTTGATGTTCAGTGTGTGCTGTTAATACACACTCTTCAGTCGCATTAATGCCACTGATGGCTCAGTGTTTTGTACAACTAAAGAGTGGGAGCTCATCTATTTCATGACTAAGACAGCTTCACTCTGCATCAATTCTCATTAAGCTGCTGTCTATGTGCAATTAACAGCTACATTCATTTCACTTCAATTAACTAGAGGAGATACAAAACGCAGCAAGATTATCAATTTGTCTAAAAGAAGGCTGCGGGGATGTTTTGAAAAGATGAATAATGTAGACAGAGGCTTTGCAGATAGAAATGTTTTCAAAGGTTTGTGTTTCAGACCTTTTACACATCAGACATCTTGTTTGTTCCAACACAGCCTTTTCCCTGTACAGGTAATTTCTGAAAAACCTTATCATCAACGCCCAGGGGCAGAGCAATTTTACATACCGTCACAAAATGAACGTATACTTTTTTATGGCCACATCTGGATGGAGCTCAGCAGAACTGCAGATAATGTGCAGAAGGTAAAGTTTTTTTAGTGGCACTGTTATTATCAGTGCATAAAAGTCTGGACTCAGTGATTTTAAAGTTCTCTCCCTGTCCTGGTGTTAACTCTGCCACTAAACTTCTTGAAGTGCCAGCTCATTACTGTGAGCATCAGCATCCCTGGTGCCTGCATGAAGGAGAGAAGGCTGACAGACTGTCAGGGCCATGCACACAATAAATTCAAGTCATACACTCTATTCAAGGTAAAACTTAGCACCAAGCAAAAGTAATTGTATGCAGACTGTTTTACAGTAAAGGACAATCAAATGCCAATCTTCAGTGGTTTAATTCATGAAAACAGATTAACGACACTAAAGGCCCAGACACACTAATCTGACATCACAGAACTAGTGACAAGGAAGGCCGACTGTTGCATCACCTCACGTTGCCTGTGTCTTAGCCGAAAAGTTGCTTTTGAACACAGCTGACAGTCAACTAGCACATATGTTCTGTACCTATGTGAGAGAAAATTACTCTCCATAGCAGCAAGCAGCAGTAGACTGTATCCGCCATTCAAAAAGGGACACCAGAAGACCAACAGGCCAGATTCAAGACACTAGTGAGCCAGTTAGCACAAGAACAAAGGATATACTGTGTGCTAACGAATTACAAATTGTTTCTGCTAAAGAGCTCAGTGGCTAAAAAAATACCTAACCTTATCACAAATTTGTTTCAATTTCAAGCCTCCTGGCTTTTTGTCATTTGCTTTCCTCACTTTCATTTCTCTTCTGGTGCACAAGTTGAACTGCCAGTCAAAGTGATTTCATTCACCGTCCGGCTCCACTATCTCCAATGCTGATTCAAGATGCTGAATCGGCCAAAAATAAGCCGACAAGGGCCAATGAAGGCCAACGGTGTAGGACACTCCACAAAAGCTAGGGCGACAGACGCTAACTGAGGGCTCTAACTTGACCAAGGGCAGATGGTCAGCTTGGTGTGTCAGGGTCCTAAGAGTCTACAGCCATGCCACTGCCGGCACTGTGAGGTTGCACTTCAGTGGTTAAGGGATCACCAAATTGTTGAAATTCATCCTGAATTCAATACCAAATTCATCCTTAACATGACAATGCCCCTTCATATGCCACAGTCAAACGCTGGGTACGAGAATTCAAGCGTAGCAGGGAGAGTGTTGAAGATGGGTCCCAACCTGGAGAGATCTTTCCCACTGGGATAAAGGCGCTTTAGCACCACTGGAGTGAGTGTGTTGCCCTTGAGGGGGGATTATGTTGAAAAATAAAAGCGCTGAAAAATCTTCCTTGAGGCTTAAAACTTTTCAGTCACTCGTACTCACACTTCTGCACAAGCTGCACAATCCTCCGGGTTTTTTAATGACAGAAAATATTTAAAGGAAATTAATTTGCACCCATAGCTGGATCTGTAAAATCACCCAGCTGAGCAAATGTAAAAGATAATAAAGATGATTTTATGGATAAAGCCTGTGCTGCAATATTAGGGCTTTGTACTAGACTTACAATAATTATGGAAAGAAAGCTGCTTCAATGTCTGAATGTGAAATGCTAAGAGGGAGACATGGCGGCACATCTGCACCAGGAATGAATCACTTGTTCCTTATTTGTCAAGGTTTTCCATCATTAGAGTGCAGCTTAGTCTGCCACTTGTTGTTTCTCATTGAGAGTGACGGCATATAATGCCAGAGAGGGAGAGCAGAGGGAAGTGTAACACAACAGTCTCTGTGGACAACATACACCAAGGCTGCTATAACCCTGAACTAATCCCAAATGTGTTTTTCAGTGTAGAAAAGCCTCTTCAGGAAGCGAGGTCTGGCCAGAATGACCCTGCCTTTGAAACGATATCATGCACAGTGAATGCACCGACTCTGCATCTGTCCCACTGTTTTTGACAAACATGCAGGCAGGGAGCCAGTGGTTTGGTTGCCATGGATACCGTTTCAGGTGTTTTTGGGCTCTACTGTCTGCTAGCGCTTTGCACCATGGTCTGACGGGCTTCTGGGTCTGTTTGTGTGTGCATGTGTGTGTGTGTGTGTGTGTGTGTGTGTGTGTGTGTGTGTGCATGTGCACTAATGTGGGAGTGTGTGCCTGTGTACCCAGCATATTGATGCTGTCTGTGAGCAGAAAGCTTCTCTTTTTCAGTCTGCCACGCCACGTCTTATCTCTGTCGTCTTCTCTTCTCTTCTCTTCTCTTCTCTTCTCTTCTCTTCTCTTCTCTTCTCCTCAGTCTCACAGCACCACATCTCACCACCCCTCCCATTCTCTCCTTCCCCTGCCTTTTTTGATCTCTCTCTATATATTCCCATCACTCCCCCCTTCTCTCCCCTCCTCCCCACGGATAGACAGTCTGAGTGTAGTAGGTCAGACTTGGCCAACCCTTTTTGACCCAGCAGCTCCACTTGCAAGGCAGTGCACTGTGCGCCCAGGCTGAAAGACCGATGGCACCAGGAGACAGAGAGAGACAGAGACGAAGAGGATGAATCAAAGAGGAAGACGGAGGGAAACAAAGATTGATGGTCAAGGGAAAACCTCGCTGTAAAGGTCTGATTTACAGTCGTCCGAGATCAAATGACAGTAAAACACAATCAGAGTAATGCTCCTGGTCAGTTCACGGTGAGGTGAGACGGGTGGGCGCAGTCTGGACGTCCTCCTCCAGCGTCCTTTCATTTGATTTAATTCATGGTGAAGTGAGCTATTAATCAGAACTATTAGGTTGAAGAGATTTTCCAATTTTAACACACTTTTAACACAAGCCTAGATTGTCTTTTAACTGATAATATTACGACCAATAGTATTTCTTGTACACTGTTAACACCTCATAAACAATATTTAGTATAATGAGCCGATAAGTTTGTTGTTTCAGAGGACTGTGACGAAGATATGACCTAAGCGAGACATTTTACAGCTGAAAAATTAACTTGTTGTCAGTGCTCTCTAGTGGACAAACTATGAAACACTGTTTCTTAATTACCTCAGACACATTTTGGCATTTCTGTACTGCAGTTTTTGTTAATCATGAGCCAACATACACCCCAATATCACAAACCTTTCTCCATTAAATTCCATTTTATATACTGCGCTATTTGCCAAAAGCTTAATGTTCCAGCTCTAATAACTTTTAATTAACTAATTACAGGATGTGCGTAGAAATCCTCTTTTCCCACTGCCAAATAAAGCATTAACCAAAAAGGAAAAGATAGAAAAGATAATATCTATCATTAAAAGTCTGTCTGGTTCTGCCCAGCAACAGAGGCGCACTTAGCAAGTCCCAAAAGTGTTACTGTGAAGGAGCAGTGACACCAAGACAGTGTTGCTACAAGGGCGGCGGGTAATTTTATCAGCGTGTTTATCTGGTGTTAGACTGTCACTGAATGAAATTATTAACATGACCAAGTCAATATCAGCACTGTCGGCTAGATTTACTCAAGTATGCACCACACTGTGGGCGTGCATGCATGCTTACACGGATACACACATGAAGATGAGCCACTTTCAGTCATGTAGTGTAACAGGCAAAGGTCAGATCCTTAGGAACAAGGTACAAAATGCAAGAACACTAATACAACTGTCCTCGAATCCTACACTATAATCAAGATTCCATCTCTCTCTACACACACACACACACACACACACACACACTCACAGTTAAAAAGCCTCTTGAGTGTGAAGCACTTGAAGCCAAAGAACAGTCAGAACACCTGACACTTCCACAGAGAAACATTATCACTTTCCCATCTACAGCACACAGGTCGAGAGCACAACATTATCCTCAGTTAAAGACCATTAGGCTGGACGATAGACAGATGGATGGACAGATACATGTAGACAGACAGATAGATGGATAGACAGATGACATGATAGATAGAATTGGAAGAAATAAATGGCACAGTAAAAGATGAATTAAACAATTCTTTGGCTGAGAGCCCAGAAACACCACACATTCACACAAAACTAAACAGATGTATAGTGAGGAGAGCTCACCTTCATGATGCATCCTTCTGTCGTTGCTCCACTCTGAAACACATGTGCTTTGCTGGGTGTGTGTGATGAGAGAAACCAGAGGAGTGTGTGTGTGTGTGTGTGTGAGCTGTAAAATCTGTCGCTTCCCCCTCTTCCCCCTGGAGTCACAGAGGAGGGGAGTTGGTCCCTCTCCGCAGCAAAAATGTGTGTGTTGTAAATGCACGTGTGTGTGTGTGTGTGAGATGAGAGTCGGAGAGGGAAAGTGCTGCTCCTCCTGCCTGTTATGTGAATGAAAACTCTAGACACAGAAGGACACACCTTAATCCTAACATGATGCCGTCCGCCTCGGTCTATCTTTCCCTCTATCTATCCTCTACTCACACTTTTCCCATCATCCGGCACTCCTCTCTTCTCTATGTTTCCTGTCCTCCCTCCTCTCTGTCTCACTTTCCTCTTCTCCTCTTGTCTCTCCGTATCGTGTGTTCGTCTACCTCCTTCTAACTCTCCCTCTCTGTCCCTCCCTCCCTCTGATAGAAAGCTCACATTTCCCTGTTCTCCCATATAGACAGAAAAAGAGGGAGGGAAGGGAGAATAAATAGATGGATGGTCCGGCTCTCCTCCTTTCTTTTCACTGTCACACATCCTTTTGGCTCTCCTCTCACCCTACTGTGCATGAGAATATGCCTTTGCACTCACTCAGTTAATCTGCATGTGAGTAAAAACACACATTACACACAGGTTTTGAGTCAGAAATACAATTAATATACAGAGAAATGTCTCACTGATGCCCAGGCACAGGTTAAAAGCACAGTTGCAACTATTACAAAGTGTTTTATCACCCGATATCTGCACCTTGATTCACTATTCTGCTTTCTTTGATCACACAAAATGCAATGAGCAAGTCTGCAATAACTCAGGGCATGCACACTAATGCATCCTATGTCCTATTCCGATATGTGAATGAGGCATAAATAAAGCTTTAGGGTGCAGAAATGAGGTGCTTTATGGTATTTCAGAGTGAACCTTAGTGTGAGAGAACACACATAATCTTTAAAGGTTAACTTCACACAGTTTCAGTATGCAATGGCAGTACACTGAAATGCAACGTCTGCTCACATACTGAGGAGGAATAGTAAATCTTTTAATCTGCCCTGCAGCTGAGTACTGACACAGAGGGGCCATCAGAGGGCGCTGTTACACTTCACAGGTCAGAGCTCAATACAATGCAGGAGATGTGAAGGAGAGATAAGAGGAATGGCCTTCTTGTTGCTCATTCTAATTCATTTTTGGAAGTCACTTGTCATTGTATCAGTAAAATAGAACTCCAGATTGTTAGACAGCCTCGGGGTTGTTAAAAGATTAGTTTCTTAGGCCTTAAAACAGCCATCATCATTTGAAAAAACTTTTAAAGGGTTCAAGAATAGGTATGTTTCTTTAGTCTATAATAAGAGTAAGAATCATCATTTCATTACCTTAGAATTAATTGATTCATTTTCAGTAACCGCTTATCCCTATCCCAGCTGACATTGGGCGAGAGGCAGGGTTCACCCTGGACAGGTCACCAGACTATCACAGGGCTGACACATAGAGACAGACAACCATTCACACTCACATTCACACCTACGGGCAATTTAGAGTCACCAATTAACCTGCATGTCTTTGGACTGTGGGAGGAAGCTGGAGTACCCAAGGAAAACCCACGCTGACACGGGGAGAACATGCACTCCGCACAGAAGGGCTCCATCCCGGGTTCAAACCAGGAACCCTCTCCCTGTGAGGTGCTTTTCTTCCTCAGAATGACCCGTTTATCTACATATAGGAATATAGGAGTGGGTCACACCATCATGTTCCTACAGTAGCCCAGAACAGATAAACCAAACAGTGGGTCTAGATAGAGCCATTTGCATTTCGCTTCAGCCACCATAGTTAGAAATCTCTTTGTGATGAAAGTGTAGAAAAAAACAAACTTTTTTAATGTGAAACTGCTTCATTTAAAAAAAAAAAAGGTTTAAATCACCTGTTCGGTTTGTTTCAGAGAGGAGGAGACCTCTGCAGATAATTCAGCTCCTGCTAAAAACCTCCTGAATGTTTAGATCCTCAGTTATCAGAGAAAAAAGATGAGCACACATTAACAGGTGTTGGGCAAGTGGCCTTTCTCCGACATGCCACAGTAGCGTCAGACCTGTTAAAACGTAAGTGAACGGGCAACCTTCAAGTGCAAAGTTAGTCCACTAAACAAGCTTTTTTTCCACAAAGACCGCCTCATATCGTTAGGATAAATGTCAGAGAACATATAGAAAACGACATGTAAACGTGTTGTCTTACCTTACCGGTGTGGTGCCGTGTTTGTTTACCATTTAGCTCTGCTTTCCAAAGCGTGGCCGAAATATCGCGAGAACAAGCAGCGATCTCATACTGTGCCTGAAATCTCGTGAGAACAAGCAGCAACAGCTGGAAGGCAGAACCAGACAGTAGCCTGAAAAGTTCATTCATTTATTTTATGAAAGATTTATAGAATAATGGCTGACTTTTTGCCAGACTTCGACTTTGTGGAGGAGGAATTTGATTTTGCAGAGTTTGATGGCTGCCCTTATTTATTTGAGCCAGAATACACTGACGAAGAGCTTCGTGAAATTGAAGAACGGAGGAGGAGAGAGAGAGAGAGGCAACAGGTAGAGGACGAGAGAGGAGGAATGGCTGCTGCAAGGCTGCGTAGCTCTGGAGATTGGTGGTGTACCTGTGAATGCTGTGCCCCAGTGCCCACAGAAGAGGAATGCCTCTGTTGCAAGGAATGGGACCGGTTGCAGCCTTATTTTCAAGGTCTGGATGTGACCGAGGACGAGACACCTCCACCTGGAGTAGTATCCAGCTGGGCTTTATCTAGAGCTCGCGAGATATATTTCGGCCGCGCTTTGGAAAGCAGAGCTAGATGGTAAACAAACATGGCAGCACACCGGTAAGGTAAGACAACACGTTTACATGTCGTTTTCTATATGTTCTCTGACATTTATCCTAACAATATGAGGTGGTCTTTGTGGAGAAAAAGCTTGTTTAGTGGACTAACTTTGCACTTGAAGGTTGCCCGTTCACTTACGTTTTAACAGGTCTGACGCTACTATGCGCCCTGGCTGTATCTAGGCTAACGGCTAACATGCTAACTATTATTTTTATGTCACTAGTCACTTGAAACAAATTTAGGACGATCGGAGACAGGTTGAAATAAACCGAAATTTCCCTTTAGATGTCTTTCCCTGTTTTTATCACCAGGTGTCTCATTAGTTAACATTGCATACGCACAAAACGAGGCCTGAAAGAGGTGTACATGACTTAAGACGCAAAAGTGGTGATGTAGGAGCAAGGGCTGCAGGCTGGAGTTGAGCCCGCGGCCGCTGCAGCAAGGGCGCTGCCTCTGTACATGGGGCTCCTGCTCTACCCACTAAGCCACTAAGCCCACTAAGCCAATGACGCCCCAACACTAAAGAAATTCTAACTGGGAGAAGCCTCAGCTGGTTGCAATCTGCAATCCTCACCTAGAGGCCACTAAATCCCCCTAAATCTGACACACTGTGCCTTTACTTTACCAATGTCAATGCAAAATGGAGCAGAGGATAGTTCAGAATAGAAGATGCAGTTTCATTTATTTCCCATTGTTTAAAGTCCTTATAAGGACATTGTTTTTATGTCTTTTATGGAGCACCAGCCTGCAGCTTACTACCCTCCAGCTCCGTACAACTTTACTACATCTGCAATAAAAGCCTATAAACAAACATTAGTTCTGTAACCTACACTTTACACAGCCAGCTTTCACAAATCACTTGCGAGGCTACAAGGATGATCTTAAACTCAAGTTAAAGATTGTTGTGCCTGCCCATTAGTGGAGCTGCTCATCTGTGTTATGGGATATTCGTCTTGTTTATTTCAGCAGCAGGTGACGGGAACATAGTGAGTGAAATCATCCATTTAGATTATCCCAACTTTTATTCTAACTTAAATCATCCCGCAGTGCCAGAGGGTGGATTCACAAGTATAAATCTAAGAGGCTTTCAGTCCTAAAGTATTGATCTATACCATGCTTGTCTAATGCATAATATATATCACAGTATATAAGCTGAATGTCAGATCAATAACCGATCACTTCTCTGTGCCTGATTAATCGTGACTACCTGCTGTGAGTGCCTCTGAACTCTGAAATGTCTCTCTGTTTGTGTCTTTGTGCTCCACATCAGAGGAGTTTTCATCCCCGAGGGGATTCTGGGTCATTACAGCAGCAAAGAACTGCCTCTAAATAAAAATGTAACAAATAAAGTAGATTTGCAAGAGCGGCTTCATGCAGACGTCTAATTCACCATAGTGTGTACTGCACGAACAGAAATCTGAGACTATTATGAAGGATTTGATATTCTAGTGTTTCCAAGTGTAGGATGTGTCAGTTTCTCTACACACCAACAAAAAAAAACAAGGGTGGTGTTTGTATTTGTCACAGGCGTCACTGCTCATCATCTCTGCTGTCCATCTGTAGAAGTTGGAGAGTTTTTATAATTGTATTCCTCTGCAGAGCTGTGACTGTTCTTACTGTCTTGGCAGTGCTCGCAACACAGAACGAGGAAGACTTTGTTCAGCTGTGTCTTATAATGATAGTTCAGTGTGTGTGTGTGTGTGTGTGTGTGTGTGTGTGTGTGTGTGTGTTGAAACAACTGGCCCAGGTCATTTCACAGCCGGTCTTCAGATATCAGCTCTAACTCTCCTCTGCCATGTCCTCAGGCAGGTGGTGGGGAGCCGTCAGATGCTGTGCTTTATGAAAGGTCAAGCTGCTGCCTCCCTCTGGTCAGTGTCAGCTAGCACTGTTAGAAGCCAGGCAGCATGCTGATGTGTTTTTTTTTGTTTTTTTTTTACCCTTCAACTACCTGCCGTACTCTATTTGGATGTTTGTGTGCAAGATTCACCAAATCTTTGATACTTTAACTGAAGCTTTGAAGCTCCACAAGTATTTACAATAAATGTCAGATATAGAGGGATGTGGTTTTATTTCTTGGTTTTTCTTCAAATATAAAGAAAATCAGCAAAGTCAGAGCTACAGTGAATATATCATCCTGTCACAACAAAATGAATCTCTACACCAACACTTCACACTCAGGACAGAGTAGGTCACTCTAGGAGATAATTATTCCCCTGGCACTATGTTTGTGACTCTCTAGCCTCCTATCTCTTTGAATGGTTAGGGTCCTGAAAATATCATGATTTCCATTTCAGATTAAGATTTCTCTTTGGGGTCTAACTGTTTCTCTGTGTGGTCTTTTTGCATCTTTAAGGTCATTTTGTGAATTTTTTTTTATCTTTTTGTGTCTCATTTTGTGCATTTTTTGTTCATTCTGTGCCTCTTTAAAGTGATTTTGTGTCTCTTTTAAGTCATTTTGTGGGTCTTTTGGGTCATTTTGTGCATTTTTTGTTCATTCTGTGTCTCTTTAAAGTGATTTTGTGTCTCTTTTAAGTCATT